CCCAGCCACACAGAACCCTGCCGCCCCTGGCCTCCACACATCACACATCTCACTCCGGCGACTCTCACGGGCCACCTGCTCACTGCCACGCCATCAACCATCACCCGCACGCGGAGTGCCCTCATCCTCTTCTCACCTCTGCCTCTCGCCAGCCCCCCACCACCACCCCCTCCCGCCCGGCAAGTGGCTGAGACCATGCTCAGCTCTGATGGCATGCGAGTGGTGAGGTCAATCCCATCCTTGCCCACTGTGTGCCTTGCAGTCAGCTAGGGAAGCAGGTGATGGGCAAGCACTCATGCTGGGGCCTGGTGAAGAGGGCTGTGAGCCTGCACAGCAGGGGGAGCCACCTGGGCCAGGGTCAGGGTCAGGGACAGGAACAGCTCCCAGAGGGAGCACAAGTCAGCCAGGAACAGAGGAGTGGGGCCTGAGGGATCCACCTCCTTCATAGTGTTCCCTCTCCCTCCTTGCTCCCCCACCCCGCCCCCGGCACCTCAGGTGCTTTGGTTTACACCCCAAACAATGGTGTCAGGGGGAGGCACCCGTTTTACACTCACCTCTCCACACATCTGTGTCTCCCCTGGCCTGTGGCATTCTCAGGGACAGAGGACTGATCTTACTCCATTGAATGTCATGGTATCTGAAGTACCATGTCTGGATACTGAAAGTGGTTAATAACTCATCCAGCAGCTAACTGGAGGTTAAGTCCACCCAGAGGCGCATTTGAAGACAGACCTGGTGATCTACTTCCCAAAACATAATCCCTGAAAACCCTGTGGAACACAGCTCCACCTGAGTCAAAATCAACTCAATGGCCAATGGGTACCTGAGTCAAAGTCAACTCAAAGTCAAAGTCAACTCAGTGGCCAATGGGTACCTGAGGCCCAGAGTCAAAGTCAACTCAATGGCCAATGGGTACCTGAGGCCCAGCAGGCCCTTCACAGAGGTGTGTGCACTGGGCCAGGGGGCCTAGCCTCTCCCAAGCAGTCCTCAGAACCTCCAGGGACTCACCCACACACACAAGAGCGCCTGCCCTGGGTCTGCCTCCCGTGTGACTTGAGGACATAAATGAACTTCTTGGAGTCTGTAAAGCAGAAGAGTTGGACAAAGGCAGGTTGACATACTATGTCCTCTAGAGTCTAAGGGACTGGTGGTGGATTTCCTGTAGCCCGAGAAAATCAGGGTCGTGAATAACCTCTTCGCTTTATTTCTATATTGATAGGCTTTTCTTAAGCCTTCAACACCTCCCAAATGGCACACAGTATCCTACTTGGCACTAAGTTTCCCAGGCATTTTAGTTTCCTGCTAACTGTCAAAGTGGCAGTTTGCCCCGCCCCAGACAGCCTTGGCTATTCCCTGGGCAGTCTCGCCTTCCAGTGGCATTCCTCCCTAATAGCTATCTGAACCCTGCTTCTACCCCTCACAAGCAGCCCGTTTCATCTGGGGCGAGACCAACACCTCACTTTTCAGAGCAAATCAAGGTCCACACAGCTGGGCCCCCAGAAGCAGTGCCATGTCTGGAACTCCGTCTCCTGATACCACACACGCGTCCCACTGTCCTGCCACCAGCTAAGGAAGAGGGCTCATCAGCCCTCCCAGAGGACTCAGCGCCACTCCCTCCACCTCCTCTCAGACTCACCACAGACTGACACCACAGGGGTCAGTCCCTCAGCCAGCCCGAGCTGCCTCTGATGCTGGAGCCCATAATCAGCACAAGTCCCTGGAGCCTCTGAGCCTTCCCCAGGCCAGGGAGCACCCAGACACCACGCTGAGCAGGCAGAGCCACAGGTGGACCACACGTAAAGAGCTGGAAAGCGTGAGTGCGGCAGGCTGGCAAAGCTCCCAGACAGAGCATAGCCCCTGGGAACAGAGAAGACCCCCTATTCCCAGCCTGGCAAGCACCAGGGACAGGCCCCTAGGTGTGCCCACCTGAAGGAACATCGTCACGAGTGCCCATGCCCCAGGTGGAAAGGGTGCCTGGGAGGTCGTCCAGAGGGGGCGGCAGCTCCTTGATGGTCTGGGGTACAGTCCTCAGGAGTCCAGAGGGATCCAAGCTGGAACATCCAGGGGCCTGTGGTGGAGCAAGCAGAGGGCCATGGAAAAAGCAAATAAACATGTTCAGCACTGACTGCTTCAGTCTTTGGTCTTGAAGCCTGAAGAGGAAGGGATGGGTGGGTCATGGTGCTGGCGAAGACAGTGGAAAGCACCGTGGACTGTCCGTCCTCGAAGAATGACAGCCATAATGCTTCTGAGAAGGAAGGACAGTAAGACTTCATCTCATGTACTTTGGACATGTTGTCAGGAGAGACCAGTCCCTGGAGAAGGACATCCTGCTCGGTGAAGTAGAGGGGCAGTGGAAGAGGAAGACCCTGGACGAGATGGAGGGACACACTGGCTGAAACAGCAGGCTCAGACATAACAGAACCAGGCAATGCTTCATTCTGTTTTCCACAGGCTCGTTGTGAGTCGGAGCTGATGCCACAGCACCTACCCATAGCGCACTGCCTCACTGGCAAGCCTGGGTGATGCCAACAGTTGGGCAACTTGGCTGAGAGCCAAGAGGTGGGTGTAAGATAAGCCAGGGTGCCTCAGAAGAAAGGCCCGCTGACATACTTCCAGGAAATCAGCCACTGAAAATCCTTCGGAGCACAGCTCTACTCTGACACGCATGGGAGAGCCATGCATTGCAGAGCACAGCTCTACTCTAACACGCATGGGAGCAGCCGTGCATTGGAATTGACGCAATGGCAACTGGGTTGTCTTTCTTCATCGATAGACTGCTTCACAGCATGGCCGCTGGGAGCTAAAGCATTCTTACAGCCAGGAGATCTGCCACTGGACCCAACGGCACTCCCTTTGCTTGACATTGTGACTCTCAGGTGCTGCAGTGTCTCAGCGCCAGCCTGCTTGGGTCAAGCAAGAGTTCATCAGGAAGCACATCAAAGAAAGCTAGCCACCTGCCTTCACTTTGACATGGATACCTAGCCTGGACTCTGACACTCTGTTTCTCCATCAGTTTCTATGTACTTCAACACCTATTACTCTCAACGGAAGTGCCCATCACCACCCAATGAAATTCTAGTCATCCAGAAAGAGAAACGCTATCTCGTAGCATACCACAACATGACGGGTCCTGAACACATCGTGATGAGTCTGTGGAAAAGGGGCAAATACTACCTGATCTCATTTCTATGAAACAGGCAAATGTGTGGTAATCAACCACCACTCATCTTGTCAATGTGTCATGCTGTGGTGACTTGCGTGCTGTCGAGGCTGGCCACTGGCCTTTCAAATACCAGCAGGGTTACCTATGGTAAGCAGGTTTCAGTAGAGCTTCCAGAGGAAGAGCAGACTAAGAAGATGGCCTAGGCAGTCCACTTCTGAAGGATTAGCCACCGAGATCTCAAGAAGATCAGTAGAGCTTTCACAGACACAGCACTGGAAGACAAAGCTCTTGGTTGATGGAGCATGACTCAAAATGAGAGACACAGGTACAAAGATCCATAAACAATTGGACCATGGAATGTATAAAGCATGAACCTAGGGAAATTGGAAGTCATCAAAAATGTCATGGAACACATAAATATTGATAATCACCATTAGTGAGCTGAGACTTGTGCTGACTGCTTTAAATCAATCACATGCTTTACTGTGCCAGGACAAACAAACTGAAGAATAATATCACATTCATCCTTGAGAAGAACATTTCAAGGTCTATCTTGAAGAACAGTGTTATCCGTGATAGGATAAAGACATATGCGTAAAAGGAAGAACCGTTAATGCAACTAGTAGTCAGGTTGACACACAACTCTACCAGCTTCTTCAGCCTGAAATTAATCAACAGTGCAATCAATGAATTACTGGTGACTCAAACACAAACTCTGGAAACAAACAGAAAGGGCCAGTAGCTGGAAAAGATGACGTTGGGGATTGAAACAAAGCTAGACACTGGATGACGGAATTTTGCAAGATCAAAGACTTCTTCACTGCAAATACCTCTTTTCAACAATATGCATGATGCCCATGCATAGGAACCTCTCCAGGTGGAAGACTCATATGGACTACATCTCTGGGAAGAGATTGGTGGAGAAATTCAATATCACCAGCCTAAACAAGACCATCAATTTCTCATACTTAAGTTCAGGTTGAAGCTGAAGAAAATTAAGATAAGTTGGAGAGAGCTAAAATACAACCTTGAGTATATCCCACCTGAACCTAGATACCATTTCATGAACACCTTTGACTCACTGAACATTAGTCACCAATGACCTGATGAGTTCTGGGATGACATCAAGATCATCCATTCATAAAGGATTGAAGATAAACAAGCAGCCATCTAGCTGAGAAGCAACAAAGCCACATGGAAGAAGCCCACCAGCCTGTGTGATCATGAGGTATCGATGGGATCAGGTATCAGCCATCAAAGATCCAGAGCAAAAAATCATAATGTGAATGAGGTGAGGAGTGCAGACTGGAGGCCCAAAGCCAATCTGTAAGCAATTGGACAGCCCCTTACAGAAGGGTCATGGGGAGAAGATGGGCAAATTAGGGTGCAGTATAGCACTAAAGAAACATACAGCTTTATTCTGGTTCTTTAATGCTTCTTCCCCTCCCTCCCCACTATCATGACCCTAATTCTACCTTACAAATCTGGCTAGACCAGAGTATGTACATTGGTATATATAAGAGCTGGAAACATAGGGAATCTAGGACAGCTAAACTCCTCCGGACCAATATTGAGAGTAGCCATACCAGGAGGGGAAGGGGAAGGTGCAGGGAGAAAGGGGGAACCTATCACAATG